ATATTTGAATGATATTTGTGATATTTGAATGATACTTGTGATATTGGAATGATATTTGTGATATTGGAATGATATTTGAATGATATTTGTGATATTTGAATATTTGTGATATTTGAATGATATTTGAATGATATTTGTGATATTTGTATGATATTTGAATGATATTTGTGATATTTGTATGATATTTGAATGATATTTGTGATATTTGAATGATATTTGTGATATTTGAATGATATTTGTGATATTTGTGATATTTGAATGATATTTGAATGATATTTGAATGATATTTGTGATATTGGAATGATATTTGTGATATTGGAATGATATTTGTGATGTTTGAATGATATTTGAATGATATTTGAATGATATTTGTGATATTTGAATGATATTTGTGATATTTGAATGATATTTGTGATATTGGAATGATATTTGTGATATTGGAATGATATTTGTAGATATTGGAACAGTTCGATAGTATATGTCAAGAACAGTTACCAACTTACGAAACACGTGGTTTATTGATGGTAAGTTAGTTTCAATCATTCTCTTCATTAGAACTTGAAGGTTTTTTTAGTTTATACTTGGTTTTGTCAGACAAATGGTGTCTGTAGGTTCTATTCTTGGTTGGCATATGACAAGTTGACCCAAGCTACAGATAGTTTAGGAAAGATCAATACCAAGAGAATCTAAGTTGTTATCTTTGTAAAATATAGCTGTTTCTTTCTTTTCTAGTCCCTTCAATGTAATATTTAGTATTAAACTGATATCTATAAGCTATAATACCAAATATTTTCTAACTATTGTTATTGTTTATATTTTGTTCTTGTTTATATTTTGTTGTTGTTTATATTTTGTTATTGTTTATATTTTGTTATTGTTTATATTTTGTTATTGTTTATATTTTGTTGTTTATATTTTGTTATTCTTTATATTTTGTTGTTGTTTATATTTTGTTATTCTTTATATTTTGTTATTGTTTATATTTTGTTATTGTTTATATTTTGTTGTTGTTTATATTTTGTTATTGTTTATATTTTGTTATTGTTTATATTTTGTTGTTGTTTATATTTTGTTGTTTATATTTTGTTATTGGTTATATTTTGTTATTGGTTATATT